TCTCTTATTCCTGTATCAGTAGCTATCTGGGACTGTCACATTTTTAAAGAAAGTCTTTAAAATTTGTTGGATAAATTTTTTTCAGGAAAAGCACTATTCCATTCTTTATTTTCAATGCTATATGCATAACATGCTATAAATTCTATATAATTCTGAGTTCATATGACTGACATACAGTCATTTTCTATTCAGACGACTGACTTACAGAAGAACAGTAGGCGCTCTGCAGAATGCCAGAACTCTGAAGAAACCATTATGTAAGTCTGTTCTGTTCCTTCAGTGATACTTTAGTTGGTACTTAGTTCTCAGTATTTTTCTGTTATCTCAATAATGATGCATTTGAGTATGTTTTGCCATTGATTGATATCTTGAATACAATCTGCCATTGTTTGACATGCATGGCTACAAGCTGCCACATGGGAGGATTTGGGTTTGAGCTGAATCCAGTGTTCCTAGTGCCTGCTGTTTTCAAAAGACATAGTTGTCCCTCTCACTGCTTTCAAGGATATAAGGTGTTGTTTAGCTGCTTTAAAATTTGCTAGTGGTCACATCTTTTCTGCGGTTTGAAACTTGAAATCAAATCACTGCAAAAGTAGCCCAATGCATGCTCCTTGCAGTTCTTACATAAGTGCATGAAATTAAACTAGTATGAAAGTAAACTTAGCATTAAGGTGGATAAAAGCCACTGGATCTGGCAATACAATCTGTATTTCAGGCTTACAGAGCTGGTCTTAAGTGTACATTAGAGTGATTCTTGTTTGTAGTTCTGAACCCTCTGTCAGCAAATTATTCACAGAAAAAAATGCTCCTTGCAATGAAATTGCTAGTGAGTGATGAAAGGCAGAAGATGTTCTGATTATCCCAGAATGTAATGTTTCTGTAGCTCAGCCATTACTGATGTGAGGGGAAGCACTGTGACTGTGTGAGGCCAAACATGGTGCTGGAAGTGCCACCCTCATGTAGACTAGGAATCTGGAAAATGTTCATCTTGAGCTGGTAGCCCACGGCTTGGACCTGGAGGTTTTCAAGATGAGACGGGATGTGGCACTTAGTGCCATGGTCTACTAATGACAGTAGGGTTGGACTTGATGATCTTTTCCAACCCGGTTGATTCTGTGATTCTGTGATATGTGACTTTCTGACTCACAGTGCATGGCACGTGTCATGAAGAGATACAGGTATTCTGATGCTACAAAGGGGAGGGGGGATGCTCAACTGAATTATGAAATAGCATTACTGATTTCATAGAATCATAAAATTTAAGGATTGGAATGGACCTTACAGATCATCTAGTCCCAACCCCTGCCCTGGGCAGAGGCCCCTCCTCACTAGATCAGGTTGCTCAAGGCTCATCCAGCCTGGCCTTGAACACTGCCAGGACTGGGGCAGCTACCACATCCCTGGGCAACCTGTGCCAGTGTCTCACCAGCCTTAGAGTAAAAAAACTTTTTTCTAATATCTAACCTAAACTTCCCCTCCTTCAGTTTGAACCCAAAATGATTTCAATACAGCTCTTCCAAATATGTTTCCCTTACATTCAGTGTTAGGAGGCATGTAATGAGGATTGCTACTCTAAGCCTTTTCTCAGGTGTTCTCAAGACAGTTGAACTGGTAGCTGGTTATAGTACTAAATTTCAGCCCAAAATTCTTTTGTCAGTGATTAGGGTACATTACTGCAGTGTTTTTGTTTTAAGATAGAATAGCCTGTTAAGCAAATCAGACCAGAAGAACCTTCCTTTCCGTGCTCTTTAATTTTACTTGATTATTTGTTCGTCTTTTAATATCATACCAACTCTGCCTTTCATGCTAACTACAGATGATCAGTCTTCTGACAAAGGTAGGTACTCTCCTTAACTGACTTTCTGTCTGAACATGGAGAAGCAATGCATTTTCTGAAGTGCTTGCTATGCCCCTAAAGAGAATCATAGATACTTATCAATAGTTGACTTCCTAGGAGAGTTTTCTAATGAATTATTATTTAAACTAGTTTAATTCAGATTGATGAGTTAAGTAACAATAACTTCCACATTTGCTCCCCATTCAAGACAAGAAGGTCTGTGTCTTCTGATACACATTGACATGTTCTGTAGTTGAAAAAGTTGCAGGTTAAATGCAATGTTTGTATCTGGTAGGTTTAAAAAAATACTGGGGTTTAACATTTTTGGGCACCTATATCAATCCAAATTGATTTTTGCTCATTTGGACTGTTTTCTGTGTTATTTTCATTATGAGCAACTGTGTTGGGCTCATGCAGTTTAAATGTCACTGTACCAGGCGCCTTTCCAAATACCAGGTATTTCCTGTTGATTTCTGCATGCTGTGATTTTTCTTTCACATTACACGTGATGTTTGAGATTCATATCCCAAGTATCAGTACTGTGTTAACTTTGGCAGAAGTACTAATCATACTCTATAATTAGGTATATCCATCATGGGCAGCTGTCAAAGTGCAAGTATGAAACTAGAGCTTACCTTCAGCAGCAGAAAATAGCTCTGATCTTAGCTACAGTGTTGGTACCTTCTCTTGGTGTAGGCAGAATGTTTTATGAGTACACATTGGCATTGCTTGATTACATCCCTGTGTGCAACTGCTTCTTAAAAAACAAAGCTCTCTCTGGACTGGCACCTGCTGTCAAAGGTTGAAGCTGCACGTATTTTTGTATATGGTTGGGTTTGTCCCAGAATCGTACACCACCACCTTAGAAATGAGTATTGCAAGGGCACAGGTGCCTAAACTTTCACAAACCAGGTATCCCTCTTTCAGGGAATACGAGAACTCAGTGTTTGTTGTAGGATTGCAGGATAGTGTTTGGCAGCTAAGTATCGTGTGTTTATTTTGCATGCTTTTAGGGGTCCTGGGGACAGTTGTAATTTGAGGATGGGAAGGTTGGGCGTTTAAAACATAGATTTGCATGTTATTTGACATACATGCATATGACAGAAGCATCAAATCTTCAGCTTTTTAATAAGGAATAAATAAATA